GCCAGGAGCCTGCGCCGGGGCCCGGAGCCGGGCGGCCGCGATGGCCTGCGCCCCGGCCCGGCCCGCTGGCCGCGCGTCCACGGCGCGCTGCGCCCCTTCGCGCCGGGCGAGCCGCTGGAGGACGCGGACCCCGGCGCGCACGCCGCCCCCCGGCAGAAGCGGGACGCCAACGCCAGCGCCTACCGAGGCAAGAGGTGCCGCATGGAGTCCTGCTTCGACTTCACTCTGTGCAAGAAGAACGGCTTCAAGGTCTACGTGTACCCGCAGCAGAAAGGGGAGAAGATCGCCGAAAGTTACCAAAACATTCTCGCGGCCATCGAGGGCTCCCGGTTCTACACCTCGGACCCCAGCCAGGCGTGCCTCTTTGTCCTGAGTCTGGATACGTTAGACAGAGACCAGTTGTCACCCCAATATGTGCACAATCTGAGGTCCAAGGTGCAGAGTCTGCACTTGTGGAACAACGGGAGGAACCATTTGATTTTTAATTTATATTCCGGCACGTGGCCCGACTACACCGAGGACGTGGGGTTTGACATCGGCCAGGCCATGCTGGCCAAGGCCAGCATCAGCACCGAAAACTTCCGGCCCAACTTTGATGTGTCCATCCCCCTCTTTTCTAAGGATCATCCCAGGACAGGAGGGGAGCGGGGCTTTTTGAAGTTTAACACCATCCCTCCTCTCAGGAAGTACATGCTGGTCTTCAAGGGGAAGAGGTACCTGACGGGGATAGGGTCGGACACCAGGAATGCCTTATACCACGTCCACAACGGGGAGGACGTGGTGCTCCTCACCACCTGCAGGCATGGGAAGGACTGGCGGAAGCACAAGGACTCCCGCTGCGACAGAGACAACACGGAGTACGAGAAGTAAGTGCCCGAGAGGCCTTGGCCCCGCCGCGGCGAGATGTGAGGCTGGGTTGCTGCCGAAGAGCCCTCAGTCCTTGCTAGTCCCCAGCCCGACTGGAGCAGCTAGTTCGGGGTGCCCGGAGGCTGGGGACGGAGCTCCTCTGGGAACGAAAAAGCCTGGCGCGCCCTCCCCAGCCAGCTAGGGACGGCGGCTCCCTCTCGCTCAGAAGACCTTCAGGGCTGTGCGGCTCCTGCCAGGGGTGGGGTTTGGTGTGAGGGTGGCCATTACACCTCACCGGTGGGTTTGGGAGGGTGTTTCTGGGGGTGTCCGGAGACCAGAGAGGCTCTACTCTCCCCCACAGTCGGGGGGGGGGGTGGGTGTTCCCCGAGACCCGTGCGTTGCTTGCTTTTCTCAGGAGCAGGGGTGCCAGCTTTCCCTGGAGATCCCAACTTCAAGCATCCAATCTCTGCCTGCCTGATGTTTCGTTAGCTGAGCAAGTATTTGAATTTTGGCTGCCCAGCTTTGTGTTGCCCTCTTTCTTCCCCCAGGGCGTTGACTTTTAGAAAGGGAGAGTGTAAGCTTGTTGGAGCCTGTGGCCTCCATGCATGCGTGCATGCATCATTCGTTCATTCATTCTGCCATACATGTCCTGTCTCCTTCCTAGGAGACACGGTTTTTCTAAATCTGGGCCTCAGTCCCACTGTCTAAACTCCCAGTTGCTAATTTAAATTTCCCCTTTCCCTTTGTCTTTATGTATTTGCATATAAATTGGAGACTGTTACTCTTTGAATGGGCGGGAGATGGCTCCTTACCCTCGGTAGGGAGGCAAGTTTTGTCCAGTTGCTAAGTAACTGAGCTGGTTACTTTGTAACCCTTTCACTCTTCCTTTTCCTTCCCAGTGACAGTAACTGACATCCAGGGTTCCAGGTCAAAGCTAGAGTCTGCAAATCGCCCTCCCTGGAGCTTGGTGGGTCAGTTCAGTTTCTGGGGAGCGGCCGCCCATCCCTCACTAAAGTCTGACTGTGAAAGAGTTAGAGTCCTACAGTGCATTTCCACGTTATGCCAGTTACCAACCAGAGCAGCCGTGTGCTGCCTGGGAAGGCAGGGGAGCCTCGCAACTAAGCACAGAGAACCGGCAGAAGCTTGCGGCGGATTCATGAAATGCGAAAGGGAACATTCTTTGCAGACCTAATTAAAACAGGATGGGGCATGGTGGGAGCTGGTCCCTAAATGAGAGGTGTGATTGTTGTAGGTGTGTTTTCTCAGATGCCCGGCCTCATGGGAGTGACTGAAAGGGAAGACCAAGTCCTCCAATACTTGATCATAGAGAGCGAAAAGAAAGTAGCAGAACTTGAATCCTGGCCCCTTCCCCCCCCACTCCATACGTTTTGCTTTTCAGGCAAAAGGAAAGCCCGAGGCTAGGGTCAGTTATGCATCCTTATTTTACTCTTAAGTCAGGGACAGTTGTGCATGAATGTGTAGGTGCCATGGATTACAATTTTCTCACAAAAGACACTTAAACTATGGTTTGTAATGAATTGCTTTTGTTTATATGACATTTACGTTGACCTATTCCTGTATGTGCTCATAAGAAAAAGTGCTTATAGCCTTTCAGGAATTTCTTTGTCTGGAGTATGGCGGAGTAACTCGAGATGAAGTCTAACCTTTCAGTGTCTTCTAAAACAGTCTTACCAAATTTTGTAGAAGGATCATGGTGTTCTTTATTCTTCTGAAAGGGCTAGAGCTGAGATTTTACCTTAGGAAATTTGACTTATGCATTTATTTGGGAAATACCCTTAATCCAATAGAACCCCCATATCTTCCTTACCCTCTTATTCACAAAGATATTAAATCTTCACATTTTCTGTTGAACAGAAGCTTTTGCTAGGGAGATCGGTGGTGAAGGAAGGAGGGGTAGTTTTCCTTGAAATTTTAATTTTTGCTAATTAAATTTAACTAATGTTTGACCTTTTTGTGATTGGGCCAAGAAATCTGACACCACACTGTGGTTTATGTTTAGAGACCACAAGGGGTCAGGACCTCAGGACTGGGGCTCATCGGAATGTGGTATTTGGTGGGGAAGCAGACGTGCGCTTTATCCTGAGGAGGGTTTCTGCAGCGGAGACACTTGAATATTTCTTTCTTTCTGCCCCCACCTCACCCCACCACTGAGTACTTCCTGCCCTCACACCTGGGGCAGAGTGGCGCTGCAGGACCTTCATGTTCTCCAGTGGAAGACTTAACTCCTTGCTTTGCTTGAGCTGTGAGAGTCATGTATCTTTGAGCAAGGTGCTTGCATACATGATTGCCTTTCACTGCTGGCTTTGGAGCGCGTGGAGGTGAGCAGGAGCTCTGGGATGGGAGATAACACATTTACTCTGCAACCTGTATTGTGCTCTGGAGTAAGAGCGTCTACTAGGCTGGCTGTTTGGTGTTTTCTAGAAGATAGGTTTACCCACACCAGACACACAGCTCCTCAGGCCAAGATATGCCTACCCTCCGAGCTGTAGGAGGAGCTGGGTCCATAGACGTGGTCTGCGGGTGAGTTTGGCTTTTCATACTGACTTATCGTGTGACTTTTGATTGTCACTGTGAGCACTACATGTCTTTTGTAGAGTGGGCTTTAGACTGCTTCAGGGTGCTTGGAGCATTCATTTGGCAGTGGCTCGTAAGGGCACCATCAATTTTCATCTACTTCTTTATTAGCAAGTCTGTGGGGGGGAAAAAGGCTTCCATTTAATTGGCTCCTGCAAGCAACTGCCCATGAGTTTGCTTTGGAGCAAACTTTATGGGGTCTGATGATTAGGCTGAACACACATGATATTATGGCCAAGTTAGGATACTAAAGGACATATGCAAATGTGTCAACTAACCAATCAGTTGCTTTTAGTGAAACAGAACATTATCGTGTGATAAAGACTTAGTGCTAAATGTGCAAGGTTTTCTTTGCCCCTGTGATTTTGTGAAAATTGGACATTGGCCACACAGGTGTGGCAGAGCTCCTGTGGGGGAAGAAAGATTTTTCTCTTGCAATACAGAGAACATAAATTTCTTGTCATTTTTGACCCAGATGTCCAGGCTTATATTAAAACATCCTTTTTATAACAACTGTAATTAATTTCATCAGTTATATATTTTAACAGATGTAGATGACACCAGCTAAAGTAAGTGACTTGTAGTGATGATCTGCAGGTGATTTGTAGTGATGCTTTAGAGAAATTCTATTTTCTGTTCTTTCTGCTGCCTGTGCCTTCTCACAGAACTGCTGTATTTTTGCATGAACTTCGTAGTTCAGATCTCTTCAAAGAGCTTCAAAGAAACTTCACACTTGACAATATGAAATAGAAGGAAGAGAAGGGAGGGAGAGGTGACCTGTGTCTTGGACCTTTCCAGGAAGAGCAGGGGTGAATTGCAGCAGCCTCTTGGAACAGGCGAGGTCACATATTCTTTCTGACATCTCCCTTTTCCTGTGTTTGCTAAAGCTATGTCTCACAGTCCTGGTGTCTTTAAGGGCTTAAAGGTAAGTATGATCACTCAGTGATCCTCATTTTACAGATGAGGAAACTGAGAGCAGAAGATTTTAGGGATTTGCTTAGGGTCAGAAAGCCAGTTAGTGGGCAAGGGTTACCCTGGAATGCCGCACCTGGATGTTTCCTTAATTGCAGTCTTTTCTCATAGCAGACACTTTTGAAAGCTCTGCAGCCACTGAGGGGTCCTTAATGATGGTGTTTCTTATGGAATTGCTCTTGGAATTTTTTGGGAACCTGATGAAGATGGAGGCATACTTTGCAGAAAAACAAAAAAGCTCGTACACAATTTGCCATATGGTTTTAGGGGCTAACCCTCCTCTGCGCCCACCCCCCCCCCCACACCTCCAGGGCATCCTCTGACTTGGTAACTCTAGCTTTGGGCCCTACATGCTGCCTTTACTGCTCACTAAGGTGGGCAGGACCCTAGAGCTGTGTGGTCTAAGCAGGAGTTTTTTGAGCCTCTCAGTGTGGCCCTACAGATTTCAGGGAACTGACAGAATCGTACATTGAAGTCAATGCATTTATAGCAAGAAGAAAATGTGCCAAGACAAGGAGTAATTCTAAATGCTTTTTGTTTTTCCCCATGATCCCTCCAGTTTGTGAGTTCATGTTCCCCAGTGAGCCTTTGATGAGAACTTTCCTCCTCCCAGATGGAGGAGGGAATTGAGAATCTCAGGGTTTAGATGTAGAACTTGAGCACCTTTTTCCCCACAGCTGTACAAAGGCACCATAGCGTTTCTAAAATGAGCTACATGAGTACAGTTTAAAAACAGGCAGGGCTGGCCCTATGCAAAATTTCCAAGTTGGCAGGTTTGTTGTTTGACATGAGGTTTCTGGTCTCTCCCGTGCTCCCTTTTGTTCCCTTTTACCCACTTTATGGAGGCACCTGGGAGCCAAGACACAAGGAGCCCCGTAATACAGGTTGGGGTGCTGTGTGCTACTTTAGGGACATTTGTCATTGACTGAGTTCAGGCTTGCAGATGCTGGTTTCTGTGGAGTCTGTGACCTGGGCAAGGGGCCTGAGTATTTTATCCCTTGCATGGTGGCTTGCTACTGAGGTTTGGGTGGGCCCTGCCAGTGGATGGCCACCTTCAGTTCTCCTTACTGTGACAGCAGCTTTGGATGGCACAGAATTGGCAAATGAGGAAGATGTCACACCTCCCAGGGTGGGGAGGGGAGGGGATAGCTCTTTTGGTCAGAAGAATCTGCCTCCCCAGTGCACAGAGCTGGTAATGATCCTGAGTTTGCCAGTATCACTCCAAAGGTTGCGCTCTGTTACCTGGCCATGCTGCTCATGGCGTCTTGCCGGGTGTCTTCTCAGGCTGTCATCAGTGTGTAGACTGAGGCCAGCGGTGGTGACATGGTTGCCCAGCTTATGGGTGGTTGCACTGAAGCTCAGCCCCAGCCTTCTGGCTTCTGACTCTCTTTTCCCTTTCCCTGAGGCCTCCTGTTCCTCCTGCCGTTCCCTCAGGGTACCCTAGGGAGGGAGA